CTTACCGTTTTAGAGAAAATATATAAAAAAGATGAAAATATGGTTGAATTTTGAATTTGAAGTCCTAAAAATCAAAACGCGTTTCTATGGTAATATAATTTCGTTTTCATTCTTTGATAGATTGTTATTGATAGAATATTAATTAACGTCATATTTTTTGCTATTTTAAAATGTCAAAGAAGCACAATATTTATTTAGTTCAATGCTACGGAAAAAGTGTGATACTTTAACAACAAAAAACATGACTTTAATCAAAATTAATAATAACTATCTATCAAAGAATGAAATGGAAATTATATTACCATAGAAGCACCTTTTTATTTTTAGGAAATTCAACCGTATTTTCATGTTTTTTTTCTAATTTTCTCTAAAACGGTATGGAAATTTGGAAAAATATAAACGGAATTAACCATTTTAGAAGAAGCAACAATTTTTATGAAGAATGTATTTTTCTCAAAATGCCACTAATAAAAAAGTTTTTCTTCGTGTAAAGACAATCCGGGGACACACTGTATATTTTAAAGATTATATATGAGTGAAATAAGTAAATTTTTCGATGTCACTGCAATACAAAAATCAATAAATGATCTTTGGTCGATTTTATGTAGCGTAGGGCTAAGTAATATCGCATATCAAGCCAAAAAAGTGAGGGATACTTTTAGTGTTATAAGTTTTTTACCCAATATTCTTTTTAGTTGCAGATACCTACACTTTCAATAGCTTTAAATCTCAAATCTGTATATAGGGGAGATATCTAAAATATGTTTATATAAACGATGTATACTCAAAAGATTTATTTAAAATAAAATATTATAAAATTTAGTCTTTGACATGAGTTTCTACATATAAATATAAATATATTCTTTTGAGAAAAAGAAAATAAAAGAAAAAAAAACAATTTCGGTTTGTCAAAATTCACGTTTTATCGATTTGAGTCTGACTTTACTCTTCCCCATCTTTGAGAATCAAATTTTAATATTATTGGTTCACCGCGACACAAGTGCATACAAAGCTTCCAGATGCAACGCCACCACATAACAATTTCGTATTTCACATATATTCCTTAATTTTTTATTGCAACATTTGTTGTCATATCTCTATATCATATATTAATACTTCACATTGTTCATGTTGATATTCATGCCCAATAATAACAAAAAGAAACTCACTACCTGAACTGTTGGTATATATCTATCTTGAATAATGTAGTCTTTAAAATGTTTTACAAATAAATTTGAATTTTAAAAGCTACTGTACTTTATATCTTTAGTCCAATGTCATAAAGGATGAATTTGATGGAAATTTAGTCAGGTAAGAAGAAAATGGATTAGATGGTATCGCTCCGAGTTGATAAGCGAAAACCGCGTGTTGAAGTAAAGGTATATAAACAGCAGTTAAGATAAATATGCAGCCGAGGCGCAAAAGTCTTATGTGTAACTTCTGGATTGAAGTTTTGACTTTATATTTGATTTTCGACTTTTTAAGAATTTTCCAGACTTTTCTTAAATAAGCACGCCATTTCAATTTAATTGTAGGTACGACTAGTTTTTAGCAGTAGTAACTCTAATTTTGTTTTTAAAGAGGGTATATTTTTTATTGAGTTAAAAATTAATTAAATACCCTTTATTTAATATTAATATAACTGTCTATTATTTAAAGTTATTGAAAGCAAAAAATATCATTTATACGATTTAATAGGTGTTTTTGCATACAGAAGTAAAAATTCTAGCAAATCAAAGTTTCATGGAAAGGTAAAACAAGGGAAATTAAAGGTGTTAATTAAATTTAATATGGTTGGTTAAACAGCCTTGCAGCTATAATATTACGGGCTAACAGAATGAATTCCGTACGAACATAGTCGAGAATTTTATTTTATTTTTAAAGTTAAAAGATTTGTTTAAAAAGTTTTATTATAGGAAACATAAAAAATCAATATTCAGAGGACATACATATTTCAATATCTACCCCTCAAAAAAGGTAACATATGCAGAAGCGTCATAAGTCACTGGTCTTGGCACTGATCTGGATAAATGGACATCCATGCTATTTAAAGTATTTTCAAATTTATCGTCTACAATATGTTTATATTTATTCGTATTTGACATTGATACATTAGTATTAATCTCTTAGATCTCTTAGAAATTTGTTGCTTTAGGCTTGGTGCATTCTCCGCCGGTGCTGCCACCATCGGAGAATGTCGTAAACAACTGGTATATACAAATACACGAGTTTAAATAGCGACTATTCGAAAAAAATATTATATAATTATTCTAAAAGTGGTAGGAAGTATAATTTGTGAAAATTCTAAAAATAAAAAAAAATTAAAATTTTTAGATGAGTTCAACAACGGTAGCGAGCATAGTTTTATGCACCGGTTTTGCTAGTGCGGTCATAATTGGGGCTATAACGAGATTTTTTAAAGGTACATAATTATAATTTTAGATGATGTTCATAAAAAAGATTTAATCACTAGTTGGTTAAAAAAATATACCATTAATATTGCAAATTATATTTTTATCCTCTCATAGTATGTCTATTTAATTTTTTGATTATGTAACTTTGTTTACTCACTTATTTCGTCGAACTGCTTGAATCCATTTTTGCTTTTGATCAAATCGGTGTGAGGAACTATAACGCTCTAAAATGTTGTTTCGGGAGAGTTAAATATCTGGGAAAGTTGAATTATTGAATGTTATTGCACCAAACAACGCCCTAATTACGCTCTCCTTTTCGTGTTAACATTTTTTCGGCAATTTTACTAACATTTGAAATTGTCACAACACAACACGACGCCTAGTTACATCACACAAACCTCGTACCTGAAACTAAAATACTTAAATATTATGACAAAAGCACGATTTCAATACTATTTTAATGCGATCAACATGAATTGTAACCGAGACGGCGTGAAATACAAGCGAAAATTTCTAGTTTCTGCCGTATCGGAGCGCTGCGGTCGGACTTTTTTGAAATCAACTGAAATGGACCAAGCCTATAAAATAAAATCTTGATTTTTCTTTGTTTAGTTTGATAAGAACAAAATCAATAGTCAAGGAACGATATATTATTCGACTATTGAAAGTGACCAGAAGGGGACAAAAAAGGTAACATATGCAGAGCAGTCGTAAGTCATCGTTCTTGGCAATATTCACGATCGGCCTGGCTTAACAAATAATCGACAGCAGCCGCTTCTGTTGGAGAAATAAAGGCAATTTCGCAGATACAATCTTTTCATTTTTCTTGCGAAGGAGGGCTGCGGACATCGGCTCCGATCTGATACCGCTGCGAATATCTAACAGAAGGATCTCGTACTTTTAACAGTTTTGCCCGAATGTCATACAGGATTTTCGGATTTTCCATGTTGACCACCCGAGGAAAAACCTCAAGCACGATTACGCTATAGATTTTCATCTTTTTCGTTGTTTAAAAAAGAGAAATATTTTTAATACATTGAGATGATCCGCCTATTTAAATTCAATACATTTAGTTTTAAGACAGTCTGTATAACTAAATAATTATTGATTTTTAAAATACTTATACGCAGGCTATAGAGAGGGAAATCGGACAACAAGAAAAAATTATAGGTGTTAGGTAATAGCTTTTAGACTACCGTTCGAGACGCACTGATGTTATTTTGGTTTGTAAAGTTTTGTGACAAAGAATGTTATTAAAGGTAAAGTAAATGTTTTCTTATTATTTTCTTTATTTCATTTGGTTTCTTATCAGCTTTCTAAGAATATAATATACTTTATATTTATTTTCATAAACAAGGTAAAAAAATGTATTTAAAAATAAATATGTTATTTTATTATGACGATAGCGAGGGGTGGTCTCACTATTGGAATTACATGTACAGGGTGGGTTAAATTCGACGCTTTTAAATGGAAACACCCTTTTCTATAGGAGATAGACAAAAACTAATATCGTACTGTACTGGCTATGTTTTTATGATAACTGGCCAGAATTCATTCAAATAACTCTGTTTAGTATTAAACGACATTATGGAGCGTAGACATCTTAACAGAGACGAAATGCTAAGGGCCATGGGTATGCTCGAAGCTGGAATGCGCCAAATCGACGTAGCTAGAGCATTAAATACAACGCAAAGCATTCGATAGTCGTGGCTCAACGATAACCATTTAGTCGCACGGCGAGGTTGTCACATATGCTTTAGTATACAAATGAATGAATGATTTTATTCGAATAAAACCATTCGATAGTTGAAATCATTCATTCATTAAACATTCGATAGTCTAATTCATTCGATAGTTCCCATCGCTAGTTCTGATCCTTTGTTTACATTCTCCAATACTATCCTTTTTAAAATGTCTACACTGAAAAAAAGGATCTCTCAGAGTCGAAATGAATATGACTTTGACCCAAAAGATTGGCGCTTTTCAATAGGGCCAAGAATGACGTTTCTTTGCCCAAGCATTAACTATCTTTTCATAAGCTTTAAAAAATTACTTTAGAGAATAGAAGAATCTATCTGTCCAAAGTATTTCACTCTTGACCCAAAATGAATATGCAAAGAAGTTCTTGCTACAAGAACAATAGTATCTTTGATTCATGCAAAAATTATTGATTGAAAAGGGACATTTCTTGATTAAAGAGACACTTTTCTTAAACCAATAGCGAATACCATTGACTCAACTTAAATTTATTTTGATCTAAGGGAAGTCTATACATCATATACAGGCATATTATACGAGGTATATTATTTTCTGATAAATTTAGGTTTTCCTGGTCTGTAGTAAGTAAAGTGATATTATTTTCCTCGATAGTAGTTATTTCTGCTTCTTCACTCCTTGGTATTTTTTGGGGTGGTTCATCACTCTACAAATTACAAAAAAATATTACATCACGATTAACCAAAGAAAAAAATTATATATTTTTTATATTTTAGAAAGTTTGGCGTAGAATTTTGAAGTTGAAGTTTTATTCTTATTCTTTTTTCGTAACAGTTCATGAGGTACTACGACTGATGCAGCTCTACAACGAAGATCTTGAGGACACTACCATCAGGACTGAGACACACAAATAGATTTAACCAGGATGTAGTAGTACCACGATTATTCCCTTTTTGATTTCCAACTAAGGGTTTCTCTATTGCTTCAGGTTAGTGCTAGGCCTAGTTTAGATGTAGTCCGTTTTCGCGAGTGACAGTGAAGACATGGGGCCCTCTTGATAAAAGTCTAAGAGTTATTTTCTGTCGGTCGTAGTTTTCGTTTATTATAAACGATGGCTGAACAGTCTCTACTTGTTATGTCTTTCTAAAACTGTTCTGTATATTTTTATTGTTGGGTTTAAAAAAGGAATAATTTGAATAAGCGAAATAAAAGAAATGTTTATGCGGGTGGATCTCCTTATCGCTAGCGACCGGTCAGATTCCGCAGCGTTTCCATTTAAAACTAAATAGGGAAAAGGGAGAGCTTATTGATGATCGGGATAAAGATCGGGACAAGCGGGAGAGTGAGCGGTCAGCTCCAGCCGTTGATTGCCATCCTTCGTCACACGTCAGGGCCTAAGATTACCACCATCTTAACCATAACACCGTCACTCGGGCTGCGTGAAAAAGATAAAGAAAAAGCGACCGTCTGGCCAATAAAACAAGCGCAGGGGTGGCAAGTGGAAAGTCCTTCGTTCAGATTTTCATCTGATTAATACCTGCCCTCGGACATCGATAAACGGGGACCGATCGTTTGGGGATACGGGGACGATTTTTAATATTTAACGAAGCGGACCCGCATGCCTCCATTTCTAACCGACTGCAAGTCGATGGCCTGCTGCTCTAAAATTAATTTCCAAATCTTCTATACAAGAATTATCCGGGGTTAAGTTTGGGATAGAGACAATTTTTATTCACAATTAGTTCTTTCTCTCCGGTGAGTCCTGTTAAAGAAAGAAATATCCAAGTTACCGATTTTGATAAAACTGCTGTTAATTTACTAACACTAAGTAAAAGGTGTAGAATAAGAAAATATGTAGCACTGCAGTCCTACGAGATCGGTAATAGATATAAAGGAGGTTTTCAAAAGGGTCCAAAAAATTAATTTTCTCACAAAGCCAAGATACCGAATTCTTCAATGGTGTCTATATTCTGAATCTACATAAAATTTCCCACAAATGCTGAAAATTTCATAATTTTATAACCATGTTTCTGAGGCCTTTGAATATGTGTAAAATAGTCAAAAATGTGCATTTTTCGACTTTTTTCCATATATATACCGGGTGCGTCTCAAAAGTGGCTCACCCCTATAACTTTTTTATTTTCTTAAATAAAAAAAAACGAGATTTGGTGTGTTTGGTTTAGTTTGGTTTGGTCATCATATGTCACCTTTTGACATTTTAGCTTAAAAAAAAATCGTATTTTAAGTTTCAATCTAGATTGCCATGGATGTGTTCAAAACACTAATTTTTAATCAAGGAGTAATTTTTAATCAAATCATATTTTTAATCATATCTCAGTTTTTTCAAATGGAACAAGGGTGGCTCATTAGCATAATTGGAAAAAGCAGTTTTTACAAATAATTTGGTACCACACACTTGGTATTTCGAGTCAAATTGTCGTTATGAACCACATGTTACAATTTCAAATAAACCGTATCCGAAAACGTCAAAAGTTGTCATATGATATGTCATTCTATTCAGAGTGTCATTTTCTATCGAATAATTTAAAAATATACTGGGGGTGTCTTTTAAAAATCAAAAGTTGTAGTAATTTCCGGTGAAATAGGATGTGACCAAAAACAATTGAATACGTCAATCAATCCTAATTTATGTTATATACTAGCATACCAAATCTCATTTTTTTATCTGAAAAAACAACAAAGTTATAGCGGTGAGCCACTTTTGAGACGCACCCGGTATAGTGGTGAAAATTGGCGATTTTCGTCATGTCACCGATTTTATTAAAACTGCTGTTATTTACTAAGTAAAAGGTGTAGAATAAAAAAATATAAGCCATTGTAGTTTTGCGAAAACATTAGTAGATATAGGTGACGTTTTAACCTTCATCAAAAATAGCTGAATAACAAGGGTTCAGAAAATTAATTTTCTCACTAAGCCTTCAAAGCTGTATATGTTCTGAATCTACACAAAATTTCCCACAAATACTGAAATTTCCATAGTTTTATGACTATATTACTGTGTTTTTAAAGACTTTGAAAATGTATAAAATTGACAAAAATGGACTTTTTCGACTTTTTCCATTAATTTTCATCAAATCACCGATTTTGTTAAAAATGCTGTTATTTACTAATTAATAGGTGTAGAATAAGAAAATATATTTCATTTTGGTCTTACGAGAACGGTACTAGATATATGTAGACAAAGTTTTAACCACCAACAATAATCAGTTAAAAACAATGATTGAAAAAATGTCCTTTCTGACAAAACTAAAACCATTTAAACCTTCTGAGTGTTAACATGTTCTAAAAGTACAAAAAATTTCCTGCAAATCCCGAAATTTTTATAATTTTATCGCTATGTTTACTAATTTTCTGAGACCTTTCAATAAAAAACGTTAAAAAGCCGAGAAGACTTCGTTTGTCATCGTTTGACGCTTCTTTTTATCGTCGAAAGTAAAAAGTCTGCAGGGGCCGTCTCGCAAAAGAAAACAGAAAGGGTCAAAAATGCAACGTGTTCAAAATTATTTGCTTACTTCCAATTCAAAGTGGATTAGCAGCGGAGATAAAAATGCGGAGCCCCGGGGGCAGAGCGCCGCGCCGGTGGGGCCGCGAACACCGAAAGTTTGAAGAGAATTTATCGGTAACACGTTCGGTTTCTGAAATATATCGGCTAATTATCGGAATTATCCGTCTGAGTCCGCAGGCGTGATTTTTCTGCGTCGAGCTTTTACCAACAGGATCAAAATATTCGTCTGGATCCATTCTTTTTTTTTGTTTCTATTTGTTTTCAGATTTTACTTATAATTCATGTCTGTAAAACTCACAGTCATTTATTAACAGCACTTATACAGGGTTGTTCACCACATACGACACGGAGTATTGTAGCTAAACGATGAGATTTTTACAAATTGTAAGTTTTGGGTTCGATGAAGGACTATTAGAGGTACAATTTAAAAATAATTTTACAAGATACAGAGTGTCCCAAATAAATAAAAAATATCAAAGTTGTATTTTTTTAAATGGAACACCCTGTATATTATTACATTTTAGTTTCTACGATTAAAATAAAGGTAAATTTGATTAAGGTTTATTATACTTAAACCTTACCGTTTTTGAAATATTTTCAAATTTGTGAAATTGCAGTAAAAATTTTAAGGCTTCATTTCTCCAAGGGTATCAAAGTTTTTAATACTAAATATTTACTGAAGTTTATTTACTGATCAGTTATTGTGTTACAATAATAAAAATAATACTACCTTATACAGAGTGTCTAAAAATTTATTTTAAATATTTATTAGCTTCAAACGGCAATAACTTGTTTAATTTAAATGGAACACCCTGTATATTTTACGAGAATCAGATGCACAATTTAATTGTCTATCAAATTATATTATACCATTTTTACTTATCTCTTTAACTTTCCGTAGAAAATGCATTTGCTTGTAATTTAGAACTTATTTATCAATATACCCATGGACTATTGACATTTTAGATTATTTTTAAAGATGTACCAAATTTTTAAAGAGTACAGATACAAATATTGTCGATATAATTCGTTTATTTCATTAAAAAATAAAAAAAAACTGTTTAAATATTTGTTAAAGAGGACCAATTAATATGATTCCAGTATTCAAACTACATTAACTGACTGTTTGCGTTGATTAATAATAATTGCTCCAAATACTAAAAAACTGAATTTTGTATGGGCATTAGACAGTGTGATAAAAAGTAACACCTTAAAAATGATATTTCATTTTTTAATAAATGCTTATTTATAACAACAGAGACTAATTTGATAACTTATTATTATATTGATTTCTGACTCAAATCCACATTTATTTATAATAATTTATTAACGAACACAATTAAGTATGTAATTAATTAGTATATGGGCGGAAATAATGGTGTTATATTTAATTAATGGTATACTCTTTTATAAAGATTTAAATAGTTTTCTTTTTGCATACAAATGGGCTAGTAATATTATCGTTTTGCTAAAAACGATAATATTACTAGCCTGTATTTTGTATATTTGTTATTTTAAAAACAATCTAAAATGTCAATATTCCATGGATATATTGATAAATGAGGTCTAAATTATAAGAAAGTGCATTTTCTACGAAAACTTGAAGGGATAGGTAAAAAATGGTTTAATACAATTTGATAGACAATTTAATTGTGCATCTGATTCTCCTAAAATATACAGGGCATTCTATTTAAATTAAAGAAGTTATTGCCGTTTGAAGCTAATAATTATTAAAAATAAATTTTTGATACCCTTGGAGAAATGAAGCTTTAAAAATTTTACTGCAATTTCACAAAATTGAAAATATTTCAAAAACGGTAAGGTTTAAGTATAATAAACCTTAATCAAATTTACCTTTATTTTAATCGTAGAAACTAAAAATGTAATAATATACAGGGTGTTGTAAGGAAAAACGGTAAGGTTTAAGTATAATAAACCTTAATCAAATTTACCTTTATTTTAATCGTAGAAACTAAAAATGTAATAATATACAGGGTGTTCGATTTAAAAAAATACAACTTTGATATTTTTTATTTATTTGGGACACTGTATCTTGTAAAAATTTTTTTAAATTGTAGCTCTAATAGTCCTTCAACGAACCCCAAACTTACAATTTGTAAAAATCTCATCGTTTAGCTACAATACTCCGTGTCGTATGTGGTGAACAACCCTGTATTTTAGTGGTTTCGAGACATTTAATTTTCAGGATTTGTAGGAAATTTAAATAAAAATAATAATAATAATTAATTAAAATATCATTTTAATAAATTCAATATTCGGTAACTCCATATTCTATACCTGTTAATTTAAAAATAACAACATATAGCGGTTAGTGATAAAACAGTAAAAAAGTATACTTAATTAAAAGCTTTTTTGCAGCTTTTAGTATAAATTGCTAAATACAAATTTTTTTTTCGATTTTCGAATATTTAAAAATATAGCAGCTCAAGGCAAGAATGTTG